AATGAGATTTTGTAACCTTTGGCCGCAATGTCCATTTTAATGCAGTCCAGCAAATCGGAACTGCTCGGTGAAGCCTTCCAAGGGCCGAAGGTGACCACGGATTTCTTGTAGGTGTCCAGGCTATTGAGAGCATCCCGGCACTTGGCCATGTCTTCCTCGTTCTTCACGACGCACACCATGACACTGGATTGACGCGAAGCCACCGCCTCCGCACGAGCGATACGGATCATCAGCTCAATGTTCTCTGTGTAGCTAGGGACCCGGGCGAGGAACTGCTTTCTGGCCACCAACTCCCCAAAGATCTGAGGAGAATCCTCCAGTTGCTTGATCAACGGCTCAATGTCATAAAAAAGAGCCTCTTTGTACACGTCCTGAACATACTGCATAGGCACCTGGCTGCTCCGTAGGTATTCCAAGATGTACTTAAAATACGTTCCAGGGCGGTCAATGAAGTACCGTCCTTTTGCATCAGTGCGAAGCTTGGGCTGACCGCTAGCAAACATCTCTGCCAGTTTGGAACCGGGATATTTCTTCAACGTGCTCAGCGTAGTCATAAATATCTCCCCACCAACGTTCAGTTCGATGATTTGCGACTGTGGATCATGGAGGAAAGGGATGGGAAATCACAGATTATACATCTCTCACCCATGACAATCAGAGAAACAGTGATGATCTTATTCTGGGACAAAATGGCTACTTCAGGTAGTAGATTTATTTTAAGCAAATTGTCTGTATTTATAAATGGGCGGATGGGTTTTCTTTTCCCCTTCTGGCACCAAAATGTCTTAGATGGGAGTTAAGTAGAGACTTGGAAACAAGCTACATTACACATTTTTCATAATTTTTTTTGTTCCCTCAATGTCTAATTGTCAGAACATGGGATTTTTTTTATCACACCAAAGCATCTTGCTTTCAACATGTTTTGTGGTACCTAATGCATATATCTCTAATGTCTAGTTGGACCTAAGTTTGGTGTTGAATTGATGGAGAGAGCTTTGCGCGGATCTGACATGGTGACTATATGGACACATTTCATGGCACATGTATGGAATGAGCCGTGCTTTCCTGTTACATGTCCGCACATCAATTATTATTGTGCATAATGGATTCCATATGCATTTGGTGCAATTCCTTATCAAAATGATCTTTTTCAGAACTTAGGAAGTTCCCTTTTGTAGAGTATAACTCCCAGGACTCCCTAGCCAAGGGGCCAAACTTGCTAAGAGATTCTGGAAGCTGTAGTCCAAATAAGTAACTTCGCCAAGCTTCGAATTTGTGTATTGTGAAGTACCGTAACCAAAGTTCAGTTACACGTTGAATCATGCAACTCAGCAGGCAACCGATAATACCTAGATATATGTCTTAACTTATGTCAATTTACCTCTAAAAGCTATTCCTTTTGTTTCATTGCCCCCACAGGATCTCAGCCACCGGTTTGCGCATCACAATAAAACTAGGGATGGAATAATGTTTGCCTTCCAGATGTTGACCTCTGTCTTCTCTCACCATTAATTATACTTGGGAACAACATCTGGAGAGCCTTTGGTTCCTCACTCCCTACTTCAAACCATGGTTTGGCTGAATGCAACTCTGCATAAATGACCAAACCATGGTTGGTTGTTACATGCTAACAGGGCCAATATAGCTTCAGAAAACTACTTAGGCAACTGGTCAGACCAGGAGACTCATATTCAAATCCACACTCAGTCATGGAATCTCAACCCAGGGAGCGAGGGGGCAGCAATGAGAAACCATTCTTTGAACACCTCATGTACCTTGAGAACATCCTCAGGGCCATCACAAATTGGAAGTGACTCAGTGGTGAATAGCAAAAAAATATCAATTGGTCTATAAATGAAACTTAAGATGGCCTTAGGAGATAGAAAGAGTCTTTAAAGCTGTGTTTCCCAAGAATGGGTCACCCAGATGTCCTTGGACTGCAACTCCCAGCTTCTTTCACCTCTAGTTTTGCTGGCCAGGATTTCTGGGAGTTGTAGTCCAAGAATATCTGGGGACCCAAGGTTGGGAACCACTGCTTAAAGGATGTGGAAGAAGGTTGAATCCACACGGCCCGCCTTCCAAAATACGGCCCTGAAAGGCAGCGAATGTTTGCTCAAACCACTTTTCCCACTTCAGAGGCCACATCGTGTGGCTGAGGGGCATCTGGGCCGGCTTTTCTGAGCCCAGCACTCTTGTGTTGGACTACAGTTCCCATGTTGGGATGGCACTGGGGCTGCCGAAGGGCTGATCTTTTGGGGGTGGGGAAATTGGTCAAGAGATGGTTTTCGGTGGCATCAGTGGGAACGTCCCAGCGGTTATCCACACTTCTGAGTTCACACTTTTAAACTCTGTTTACCCAGGAACTGTGAATCAGTGGAGCACAGTGGCCAGAACAGCCCGTTCAGAGGCCAACGCCACCCGCCACCCTCCTTGGAAACAGAGCTTAGGTCTATCTTCAACAAAGACAGAGGGAAAAATGTATATTTTCTTGAACTTCATCTCATAAAATACATCACAATGACTACTTTTGACATTAAAATTTTTCTCCTCTCCCTTCCTTACGCTGGGAAACAGATTTCCCTGTCACCTAAAGACGCCTTTGAACAGCGCTTGGGAGGCTTTGGACTACAACCCCCACGATCCATCAATGGATGGATTGTGACATGATAACATATGTTGAAAAAGATCATTTTTTCCAAGCTCTCAGCTGAGACTGAGCTGCACAATTGGCTCCTTGGGTCCTGTGTCGCTTGCACGGATGGGCAGCAGCTATCCCGTGTCATAGGGGGAGGTCTTTCCCCCACCTTGTCACTCCCTGATCCTTCCACCTGGAGATGCTAGTTTCTTCAGGTGGGCAAAACCAGGTGCCTTCGCTGTGAGCCACGGTCCTTCCTAAAGCAACCTGGTTTTGGAAACCCTAGAAAGGGCACCATCCTTCGCCTACTTACCGTTTGCAGACTCCCCCCATTTTGTTTCCCGAGGGACTTTGATTCTGAAGAAAGGCTCATTTCCCCCCCACCCTTTTCCAACTCTGGACCGATGGGGAAGCCGTCGGAAAAGTCCCTTGCTTGGAGGTGGCTTCTCTCTTGCTCTCTAACTCTCTCTCCCAGTGCGATATTCCTTCTTGGCACCCAGGTGGCGATTCACAGGCATCCACCTGCTGGTCGGCCGCTTTGTGGCCTTCCTCCTAGACTCAGAGCCAGGTGACAGGTGTCAGGGACGGAAGAGGTTTTTCCTCCCTCCGCTGACTCTGCCACAAACTTCTGGAAACCAAAGACCCCGGAGCGGGCAGGAAAGGTGGTTGCCCAGCATCTTGAGTGCTCCTTCCTTTTCCAGCTCTTTGACACACCCGTACGTCATGACTCAAGCAAATCTACTCCTCCCTGTCTCTTCTCTGCTTTTGGCCGCAAAAACTCTGCCCAAGGGAGCAGAGCCAAAAACCCTCCCTTTGTGTGGCTGTCATTTGCCAAACCGGTTACACCCTGGTTTCCTGGCTGCCCTTGGGCCTCATTTTTTTTAAAGGCACAGTATACTCATTGATGCTTTTGAATTGTGGTGCTGGAGGAGACTCTTGAGAGTCCCCTGGACAGCAAGGAGAACAAACCTATCCGTTCTAAAGGAAATCAACCCTGAGTGCTCACTGGAAGGACAGATCCTGAAGCTGAGGCTCCAATCCTTTGGCCATCTCATGAGAAGAGAGACTCCTTGGAAAAGACCCTGATGTTGGGAAAGTGTGAGGGCAAGAGGAGAAGGGGATGACAGAGGATGAGATGGTTGGACAGGGTCATTGAAGCTGACCAACATGAATTTGACCCAACTCTGGGAGGCAGTGGAAGACAGGAGGGCCTGTCGTGCTTTGGTCTGTGGAGTTACGAAGAGTCGGACACAACTTAACGACTAAACAACATACTCATTTGGAAGAAAACCCATGTATCAAGAACATTGCTGATGATAGATCAAGGTCTCAGGCAGTTTACATGGCTCAGCAGCAGTGTGGTGGAATCAGAGCTTACAGGGTTGACGTCCCACGTCTTTCTAAGCAGCATGGACTGTGGCATCATGTAGTAGATTTCTCGGGCTATCCTCTGAGCTTCGCTGCCATCACTAGGAAAGAATGAGGTCTTCCCAGGGTCAGCATGTCATTTTGCAAGCTACCCCTACTGTAATGCAAACTATTTGGTTTTTCTCTTGAATGCACAATTGGGAGCCATTAACTTTACAAATGACCCGCTCCTCGTTTGTTGATGTGAGTTGATCCAGCTGGCTGCATGTTTGATAAGGACATGGGATTGATTCTGGGGATGAATGCTCACCTGTGATTCTAAACTTGCCGCTATATTCATGTGGCTCGTTAAGGGCCAGACCTTGGATCTTCTCTCGTCTAAATCTGGGGTTTTAAATTAAAAAAAAGAGAAGAGGTGCCATACTGTGGTGGTTTTGTCTCAGACACATCCCAAATCACACGAGGACACCACAATGTTCTAAACTTTAAGAGACTCTATATCATTACAACCTCTCTCTGGATTCGAACGGATTCGTGGCCATTGGTCTTCCATTGCATTTCAGTCTCCCTCATTCTCTGATGCCTCCTCTTCTTAGGGTGTGTGTGTTGATCTGACTCTGGGTATAATACAGTCCCTTCCATTGTTCCTCTTTGTCCCAGATCCAAAGACAATAGGCTAGAAGGTCAGAAAGGTCCAAATGAGGAATGGATGTGAAACCACTCTCCTGCGTCTCTAGAGTTTGTTTGTCAAACTGCAGGAATTTGATAACACACCTTTCTGCCATCACAGGAAACACCCTGGATTCCTCAGTTCAGTTTTATGGGCTGTGTAAAGAAATCACAGCTCCAAACTCTGTTCCAGAGCCAAACGGAGGAAAGGTGCCACATATCTTGAGCACACCGTGTCCATGTTTAGGTAAAGGTTCTCCTTGACATTTAGTCCAGTCATGTCCGACTCTACGGCGCGGTGCTCATCCCCGACTCCAAGCCGCAGAGCCAGCGCTTGTCCATAGACGGTTTCCGTGGTCACATGGCCAGCATGACTAGACACGGAACGCCGTTACCTTCCCACCAAGGTGGTCCCTATTTATCGACTCGCATTTTTTCATGCTTTCGAACGGTTAGGTTGGCAGGAGCTGGGACAAGCGACGGGAACTCACTCCATCGCGTGGATTTGATCTTACGACAGCCGGTCTTCTGCCCTTGCGGCACAGAGGTTTCTGCGGTTTAACCTGCAGCGCCACCACGTCCCTATAGTGTCCATGTTTAACTCACAGATAAACCCAGAATATTTATGTTCTTGGAACATTCTGGTGCCCACCATAAGGAGGGTGACCTGATATTCATTTATTCTGGATGAGTTAAGTTTGTAGCCTTTTATGAAGCAGAGACAGGTAATATTTTTACAGTAGCCATCCTAGTTTCCTTGTGGGGTGGAAACATGCAACATGCTCGAAAACGTGGAATGCATGATGTAGTGTAACCACGTGTGGACACTACAGCTCTGATGTGTAATGGAATATTTCACATGATCATAAGCCTGGTTGTGTTTATTACTAAAGAGCTTCATCCATATTTGTTCCAGATTTCTTGCACTACAGTGTTCAGAATCCCCCATCTCGTTTATCCAGTTATTATTTTGACCACCTCTGAGCCCTCACGGGTAACTAAGATTGTAGATTGTCCATCCATGACAACTGCCTTTATTGTTACATGCCATCAAGTTGCTTCCAACTCATGGTGACCGTGCGAATCTCCAGAATGGCCTGTTGAAAACTGCTTTGCTCAGCTCTTGTAAAAATCAAGCCTGTGGTTTCCTGTAGGGAGTCGATCCATCTTGTATTGGGTCTTCCTCTTTTCCTGCTGTTTTCAGCTTTTCCAAGCCTGATTGTCTTTTCCAGACCATCCTGCCTTCTCACCAGCCTTATTGTCTTTTCCAGACCATCCTGCCTTCTCAGGAGGTGCCCAAGGGATGACAGCCTCAGTTTCAACATTTCTGCCTCCAGGCTTGATTTGATCAAGGACCTACTTGTTCACCTTTCTGACAATCCAGCGTTATCCACAAAGCTCTCCTCCAGCGCCACATTTCAAACGCATCGATTTTTTTCCCCTGTCAGCTTCCTTCATTGTTCAACTTTCACACTCATACATGGTGATTGGAAACACCATGCAGCTTTATTCGGAGCAAGGGCCAAGGGAAGGATAGTGCAAGTACAGTATAACGAAATTCTCACGGGTGGGGCTAAAGGGCTGTATTGTTTGCAGAGGGAGAGGGAACTCTCTGTTTGGTGTAGGGGAGGAATAGTCTGTCCGGCAGAACTCCCAACGGTTATCAGTGTTGTTGGTTTTGTTTCGTCACCTTCTAAAAATTACCAGTTTACTGTTGCAGGGTCACCTAGTGTGGGCAGCCAGCCTTCGTATCACATGGGAAATAAAAAAGAAAATGTTAGTTCTCAAAGGTCCACAGGGAGGAAAGTTTATGGATCCAGCACATTTTGAAGGATCCTTCCCTAGGGGTCTTCAACAGCTTTTTCCCTGGCTGGACAGCTCAGTGGTTTAAGGATCTATTTGCGGAGAGGTCCACAGGGAGGAAAGTTTATTGATCCAGCACATTTTGAAGGATCTTTCCCTAGGGGTCTTAAACAACTTTTTCCCTGGCTGGAGAGCTCAGTGGTTTAAGGATCTATTTGCGGAGCCAGAGGGTTGGGAGTTCGATTCCCCCAAGGGGCCTCCCTGGGAGAAGATCCAGCCTGGGTGGCCTTGGGCCAGCTGCACACAGTTTCCAGAGCGCCCCTAGAGGAAGGGAGTGGTAATACACATCTGAGTCTTCTCTCTACCTAGAAAACCCTGGAAAGGGTTGCCATAATTGTATTTTAATTGTATTTTAATCATTTTATCTTTTATTGTATTGAACTTTAATTGTTGTGAGCCGCCCAGAGACCTCTGGGTAGATTGGGCGGCATAGAAACTAGCTAGCTAGCTAGCTAGCTAGCTAGCTAGCTAACTAACTAACTAACTAACTAACTAAATAAATAAATAAATAAATAAATCAGAATTGACTTGACGACACCCTATTATTAATAAACACAGGGTGCTCAGGGTGCAGGAGACAAGGGTGGATAAAAGATCTGTCTCCACAGCATGGTGGGGAGCAGAAATGGGCACGAACAGCCTTTTTTTGGCGATTTGGTCACTTTGTTTTTCATCTGAAGAGGGTTCTGGCCGTTCCCATTCCCGCCTCCTCAGAGGCCGCATCCTAGCTTCTCTGCCCCGACTCCTCCGGGCGCTGCTTCTGAGTAGGCACCTGCTGGAGGAGGTGGGTCTTGGAAGCGCTGACGCCTCTTCAGATGAAAAACAAACCCTCCATCTCTAGTAAAGAGCCTCGTAGCACAGTTAAACTGCAGTACTGCAGTCAAGACTCTGCTCACCACCTGAGTTCAATCCCAGGTAGCCAGTTCAACATGGGTTCATCCTTCGATCAGCCTGCATAATTCAATTGTAAACTGCCCAGATAATGTTTTAAGCACTCTGGGGCAGTATATAAGCAACACCTTTTGCTTTTAATGTTACTTTTTAGACTGTGTCTTCCAAAATCCTCTAGGCTGAAGAGTTCCATGTTACTTTTTAGACTGTATCTTCCAAAATCCTCTAGGCTGAAGAGTTCTAGGACTTGTAGTGCAAGCAGTAAATTTTCTGAAAACTTTAACTTCCAGTTGGAAGGAATTTGGAGAAGAGCAAACCATCTGCAGCACTGGTTATCCTCTTAAAAACTGAATGTCTGTCCGTTTGTCCATTTATCTCTAGCCCTCTCTGTCTCAGAAATCAGTTTAACTCCCAAGTCTTATGAGACAGACAGAGTAATAAGAAAGCAAAATAGCAAAATAAGCCAATGTTCGGAACATATGTTGTTAGTAACATTTTATTGACAATGATGCCTACACACAAAATGCATATAAAACCATAAAATAAATTCTGACCTTCTGACAGGCGGCTTGCTAATATTATTTCTTCATAATTGTTCTGGATCAGAGACGTAAACAGTAATTTAAGGTGAGACAGCTCTGTGTTTTCTTTATAATTGGTACTGCTTTTCACAGAATAACAAGATAATAACTGAATAATAATAATAATACAACAATTATGTAATAGTAACAATAATATTATTTCAAACAGTCAAGTATTTTGTCAGTCAGAATTCACAGACTGTCACACCAAATTCTTCTCCGGAACAAAGTACAGAATGTCAACACTGTCCTTTCAGCTTCCAGGTTCCTGGGAATGGAGTGACCCTGTGGAATTAATTAGAAAGGAGACATTTTAAACACTTCCTCATCAATTTGCAGAGGGAAACAAGGATGATCAGGGGACTGGAAATCAAGCCCAATGAGGAAAGACTGAAAGAACTGGGCATATTTAGCTTTGAGAAAAGAAGACTGAGGGGTGATATGATAGCACTTTTCAAATACTTGAAATGTAGTCCTACAGAGGAGAGGCAGAATCTGTTCTCCATTATTTCAGAGTACAGGACACATAATAATGGGCTCAAACTACAGGAAACCAGATTTGGGTTGGCCGTAAGGAAAGACTTCTTAACTGTTAGAGCAGTACAACAACGGAACCAATTAACTTGGGAGGTGGTGAGCGCTCCAACGCTGGAGGCATTCAAGAGAAAACTGGGCAAGCGTCTGTCCAGATCTGCTTTGATTTGGATTCCTGCTTTGAGAAGGGTTTGGACTCGATGTCCCTATAGGCCCCTTCCAACTCAATTATTCTATAATTCCATTATTTATCCCTGTGGTAGCCCATAAAAGGATTCAGGTTTCTGTGCAAACAGAGGATCCAAACATATTGGTTTAAGACTCGAACAAGTGCACGTTAAAACTCAATTAATGAGATGCTGCCTAGTTTTTGCACTTTATATTTAGTCCTCTGGATTCCTCTCCCCCTCCCCCCGAATGAATGAAAAAGTTCCAAAGTAAAAATTCAAAGAAGTTGAAGCAGGACCTATGCATATTTATTGATTGATTAAAAATATTTTTATCCCAGTTTTCTCCTTTGAAAAAAAGGACCCAAGGAGGCTTACATAAAAAAACACCAATTTACAGGGACCCTAATAGGGCTTTCAAGGTAAGTGAGATATTTAAGGAGTCCTTTTACCAGTTCTGCTCTCCCAGTGCATTCCCATGGCAGAATGGGGATTTAATTGCTAGAGTCATAACATCTCACTCTGCCCATCACACTACCACACTGGATATTTTTGTGGGTCTGAGAGAAAGCCCCCCCGATTATCTTAATACCTGTATATAAAGGTACGTTCACTCTAAAAGGCAGGTTCTATTCTATTCTGTTCTATTGCCCCATCATAAATCTTGCAGAATTCAGAATTTTACTAATTCTGCATAAGAGTTTGGAAGCTTTGCAATTGAGCCAATAAAATAAAACATGGGAAAATGGATTTAGGAAGCTAAGTGGGGTTTTAATCCTTTGCTCTCACACACTGTTTCTCTGATTTAAAATCCCTCTCCATACCTACCCTGTTTCCCCGAAAATAAGACAGGGTCTTATATTAATTTTTGCCCCAAAAATGCAGTAGGGCTTATTTTCAGGGGATGTTTTAATTTTTTTTCATGTACAACAATCTACATTTATTCAAATACAGTCGTGTCATCTTCTGGTTGCTGCACAATGGTGGATGTTGGGGTTTCACTTAACTGGGGCTTATTTTTAAGGTAGGCCTTATATGACGAGCATCCTGAAAAATCCTACCAGGGCTTATTTTCAGGTTAGGACTTATTTTCAAGGAAACAGGATATTATTTGTCCTTGAGAGAAATAAGGAGGAAATAGTTGTTGTGGGTTTTT